CGATTTTAGTGCAAACAGGCAGATTTCCTCCTGACACCGCCTTGACACCTCCACGTGAGTAGGCTTCGGCGCCACCCGGGCAAATATCATTTTTTTTTGCCAAATGAAAATGTGTCGTGACGTGGTGGAATCGGACGCTCGTCAGTTTTTAGGCTTACGGGGTTATTGGTAGCATCTTAAAGCCTGTTCATTTGCCTTCCTTTAGGGGAAAAATACCCGTCTTTATTGAATAGAAGTCGAAATATTTGCAATTGAAGGAGGTCACAGGATCGCTTCGTTTCAGATGTGAAATTAGCGAGAAAATGACCGCCAAAGTTTGGTAATTTCCATAGCTTGAGAGTCCTTGGAAACTGAAAATTGACATTTTTTGTATCTTTAATCAATGTTGCTCAATAAAATCCACACAGACATGGGTTCTTAAGTGAATATAAAAGGTGTTGAGCCAAAAGAAAAAAAAAAAAGAAAAGAAGAAGAAAATTGCTCAACGATCAGAAAAAATGCCAATTTCTTTGATTTCATTATTTTGCGCAGCGACTCATTTCACCACGATGCCTCACAAATGTTTAATTTGTCCCGCGTGCTCATATGTCCTTATTCAGTTGCGAACTCCCTCCGTAAAACACTTACCAGCACAAAACAAGGAAACAGACGGATGATACCAATTCCTCCAATTGCCCAAAGATTGACGAACGACTGATTCTAACGCGTTGTGACACATTTCACCGTTATTCTCCCCCTATGTGTGTATGTGTGTGTGTGTGTGTGTATGTGTGTTTTAGTGTGTGTGTACGTTGTGTCTTTACCCGAATTTCCCTCCAGGCTCGGTCCTATCGGAGATGGACGATAAACTCGGAGGCCCCGCCTCTTAAATAACCCAATAGTGTTGACAGGGGCGTTAACTCACTCAATCCCACGACCAAGATATCTGGTTCATCTCGCGGGCTGCTTTCAATCCCACGATCGAGATAACTCGGTTCTATAGTTTTGTCCCGTATAGTCGTTATTTCGTTTCAGAACGCGGGCTCAAGTTTTGGATAAGGTCAATTTATAATTTCCCCCAGCCAATTCTGCCTAGTGGGGTGCTGGAATTTTGTTTCTACTGCCATTGCACACGGAGAAATTGCTGTTTTCATAAAGGAACTTTTAGCACTTTTGTTCACACCGATCAGCTGAGCATGTCTTGTAATTGATTCTCTTTGCCTTTCTCACACATACATTTTTTTGTATTCATTAAATAAAGTGTTTAACAGTCGATGACATACAATATATAGACACTCACAAGCATATTTGAATATCAATGTGAGCTTGCTCTAGCACATTCTGATTGAAGAAACGCCCCCCCCCCTAAGTCAAATTTGTACAACACACCAAAGCAAAACTACTACAACAACATACTTCAAATTCGAAATCCTCAAAGTTTCATTATAGGTTGTACATTGTGCCAAATATCAAAGCAATTGGATGATATTTATGGTTACTATTGGGCACTTACATAATTAGTGCCAAAACGACCTGTTTCAGTGGGTGGTTGGCGGGTGTTCTGGTGTCGTTTTCTTCTTATTTCCTATGAAACATCTATCGTCCTTATCTCCCCTTCTTCTTTGTTATGTTTGTTACTCTCTTGTAACACCTCTAATCTTCTGGCGCTCATATGACCTTATGCAGTTGCGAGCGCCGTAAAACTCTTACTAAAACTAAACTAAAAGCAATTGGATGATAATAATTTATGGTTACTATTGGCCCTTGCATAGTTAATGCCAAAATTACTGCTTTCTGGGTACATGTACATATTTTGGAAGGGAAAAATCTCGAGATTGAACCATTTCACGATTTATTTTGTGATTTTGTGTGTGTGACACAGAAAGTGATGGAGGTGGATAACCTTCTGGAGCAGCTGGGGGAGGATGTGGTGAGGGACGAGGCGGCCCTCAAGTCGGCGCTCATGCACAGGAAGATCATGGAGCTCCGCCATACGGACGGCTCACCCAGCAAGCTCTCCGTCAAATGTGAGTGGCGCGGTATTTTTGTTTTTGTTGTTTTTTTATGTTGTTGTTGGGTTGTTGTTGTGTTTTTTTTGGGGGGGGGGTTTGTTTTGGGTTTTTTTTTCGTTTTTTTTTCTTTTTTTAGGGTGAGGGGTGGGTGGTTGGTTTTATTTGTTTTGTTGGGTTCTTTATACCCAGCAAACTCTTCGTCAAATGTGAGTGGCGGGGCTTTGCGGGGGGGTTTTTTCTTCTATGTGTTTGTTCAATTTTTTATTTTTTTT